CCAAAAGTTCAAATGATAGAAGAAGAGAATAGCAGCCTAAAACAGAATATTAAAAACCAAAGTAGATATAGAAGTATGGATAAAGAAAAAGAAGAAAGTTGAGAGAAGAGAAAAAATAAAGATAAGGTACAACAACAAGAAAAGAATATGCATATAGAAGATGTACTAGGCCGAATTTTAGAAAGACTAGAAAAACTAGAGAAAGTAGGTAATTCAATAAGAGAAGGCATAGCCAACCGCTCCTAAAGGCACCTTAGTTGAACTACTGAATATGGATGAGGAGATAGGAGAGTTCTTACAAGATAAAAGAAGAAGTTTTGAGAACAGAAAAGAGAAAACATATCCTTATCCAAAAGAAGAAAGAAGTAGGAACAGAAAGGAAAAAGAAAAAGAAAAAACAGCAAAGACAAAACAAGAACAACTAAAAGAAAAATGGAAAGAAAGAAGAAAGAAGATTAAAATAGCATATCATAATGTTAATGGACTCAAAACCAAAGAATGGAAACTTGATAGTCTGCTAGGCTAGGCAGAAAAAAAAGAAGTCACGATACTAGGTATTATAGAAACAAACCTTACAGAAAGAGAAGAAAGATTTCTAATGCAGATGACGAACAGGAAATACATAGAATTTTGGTCAAGTGTAGCAAAAGACAAGAAGAAGGGATTGGATATAAGAATTATAATTAATGAATAATAGGAAAAACATGTGAGTGCAATCAAAAGAATAAATGAATATATGATAAAACTTATACTATATTTCAAGCAATTGGAGTTAGTAGTCTTAGGAGTTTATATACCATCAAGTGACAAGGCAATAGGGAAAAACATTTAACAAAAAATCGTAGAAATAGTTACCAAGAAAAGAAGACAAACACAAATAGTTATTTTAGGTGATTTTAATCATACAGCAAATAATGTATTAGACAGACAATATCCACAAGCAGCAAACTTCAAAAGATTGCCAATTTTTAATTGGATGAAAAAGCAAAACTTTAGCAACAGTTACAGAGACATGCATCCAACAAGCCAAGAATTCACATGGTCAAATAGAAAAGCAGCAACAAGAATTGACTACATATAAATTTCAGAGAAACTGGCCTCAGATTTACAGAAAGCAAAAATCGAAGATGCAGAGGGAATTACTGAAAGTGATTATAAAATAGTAAAAACAGAAATATGAATTAAACACATGACATCAAGAAATAGCAAAACTGAAATCAAAAGAAAAAGACAATCTAGAACAATATATTTATATGACCAAGCAAAAGAAGAGAACTGAGAAAAGTATACACAAGAGTTGCAGAAATAATTAGAAGTAAAAGAGATGCTAAAGAACATTCAAAAGAAAGAAACAAAGAATATAAACAGCATATGGAACATATTAGAAGAAGCAATTATCATAGCAGCTAGTAAGCATCTGCCAAAGAAGAAGATATACAATACACTGACAAATAGAAGAAACAACCTAAAGAAGCGATACCAAAAGAAGAACATTATAGAGTTGCAAAGATTAATTAAATAAGCAAAAGCAAGAGAAGGTCAAGAAGTAACAAAAGAGGAAAGAACAGAAATAAATAAGAAACTATGAATAATAGGAAAAAAAGAAGGTGCAAGGCTGCCCAAACTATCCCTTAAACCATCTAGTGGGCAAATTTGCCTGCTAAAATTTTTTTATATTAGTTTTTATGTAATTGTGCCTAAATTTACTAAGCTTGTCACCCTATATTATTAAGCTAAAATTAAAGTTTGCCATACAACCAATGTTACAAAAAATGTCATAATAAATTAAATGGTATGTAGATCATTTTGTAATTAGAACCGATTGCGGCATTTTTCAAGTTAAAAATCGATGATCACATTTTTGTGCAATAGCTAATTTGAGTCTAATAGAAAGACTATAAAAGGAGTTAGTAATCGCTTTAAAAAATAGATCCCTTTTTGGAACAATTGTACAATCACACAACAATTCCTTTTTGGCTCGACTATATTACTAAATAAAGAACCTTTTCTTGCCCACTTTACATATTTGAGTTTCACTTTTTTTGTATTACAAATAAAGACTAGCCTATCAACTATTATATTTTTACGCACTTATGAATAATAATTGCTTAAACTTTAATATTAATGATACTGTGCTAAATTGGGAACAGGTGGAAAGCTCTTCCAAGTTGTACCACCAATTGGCTTTTTAGTTTATTGCAATGTTTAAGCAACTTGATAAATCCCATCATACATAAAATCGCAAAAAACAAAAAAAAAAAAAACTATTGTTATGTCTAAGACTTCGCCTTTTACAAATTCATCATTTGCAAGTTCGTCGTCATCTCTTTTGGAAAATATAAAGATGTACGATGATAATGATGAATATGTACCAATTTTAACATTTCGTCAACGTTTTTTAAACGACTCGGATTCAGATAGTGAGAGCGAGGATGAAAATGCTGCAGACACAAGTGTCCCCAAGAGAAAACGTAAACAAGCCCTCCAACTACCACCACCACCTACCTTTGAACCATTGGTTCATCCAAGTCCTTTGTGTTATGCAAGTGTTTGGTTGCCATCACATATTAAAGTTGGTGTTTCCAGACCGATCATTTTGTTTTTACTTTTTTTTACTATGTCTATGATGGACACGATAGTTGCAAATACGAATAAATACACTTCAACAAAAGATGCAGGGGTTACTGGTAGACAATGGGAAGATATAACCCGCAACGAGCTCCTTGTTTGGGTTGCCTTGGTTATTTATCAGGGACTTTTCAAGTTGCCGTCCCATGACCAATATTGGAATGAAGATCCAAGGCTCCCGATTCATCAAATTTTAAAGCAAATGATATTCAAATGCTTTGAATCAATAAAGAGGTTTCTTCATGTATCCTTCCCCGCCCCCATATCTACATTAAAAAATTATTTTGATAAAGTAGAACCACTACTTTTCCATGTTTGTGAAGCTTCGAAACGGTACTACACACCGGGATCAAATGTTTCAGTGAATGAAATGATGATACGATTTTCTGAAAAAAGTGTCCATACAGTGCGAATGAAAAATAAGCCAGTTCCGAAAAGTTTCAAGATTTTTTCTCTTTGCGAATCCGAGTACACATACACTTTTCTACCAATATCACGCATTGCCTTAAGTAATGTCACAAAAGTGAATAGTCTTAATAAAGTTGGGTCTCAAGTTTTTCATCTTGTTGAACAACTTCTGTACCAATGGTATCCTTACAATTTATACATTTTACCAGTGTTCCTCTCTTTCAGCATCTTCGACAAATCAGCGTTGGAGCTTGTGAAACTGTTCGAAAAACGGCAGCTAGATTTCCAAAGGAATTAAAAGTGAATAAAGGCGCTAAATTAGATTGGGACATCCATTCTGATGTTGAAATAAATGGTGTGTTGGCTATTTTCTGGCAAGACAATGGGCCAGTCATGATGCTATCAACTATTCACAGTCTTGTGGGTGAAGAATGGAAAATTGAATGAGAAAGGTGGTGATCAAGGGAAACAAGTACCAATGCAGCAAAGGTTCGAGCAGTATTTGGCTCTGAGCCAAAAAAAAAATTAAAAATTCCAAAAGTAATTGATGACTACAATCATAACATGAATGGTGTGGATGTTGTTGACCAATTACGATCCTATTATGACACTCAGCAAACTGTGTGACACAATTGGATGCCTTTTTTTTTTGGCTGTTGGACACTGCTATTATTAATGCATACCTAATTACTAAAATTTTAGGATCAATGCAAGAACATAAAGAGTTCCGTAATGAACTTGTTTGGGATCTTATTGAGCTTGTGAATGATTCAGGTGAACCTCAATTAAGAAGTAGTTCAAATTAGAAAATAAAAAAACCCAAAGTTACAAAAAATTTTAAGATCTCAGATCAACGGTTGGTGTCCGAAAACCATTTGGCCATATGGAAGGACCAACAAGAAACATGCTATTGGTGTGTTTGGTTGGCAAGTAAGAATGAATTGGATATGGATCGCAAAACATCATACCAAAGCCAGGTTTGGTGTTTATCATGCAATATGCCTCTTTGTTGTAATAAAACTCAAAATTGCTTTCTTGGATTTCATCTTGAAAACTAAAAGCAATGTCAATAGGTGGGTAGGTGGGTGAAGTGGCCTTAGGGGCCAAAGCTAGCATTAGCTGGGTGGGTAGGCGAACTGGCTTTAAGGGCCAGTGCTACATTAGCTTGGGTGAGTAGGTGGGCATGTGAAGCAGCAATGAGCAAAGCAAATAAAAATTTTTTAAAAAAAAATTTATTTATTTATTTAACAGTGCCTTAATTTATGTATATTACATATCTGATATTTTTAATTTATCAATTAATACTCTGATGTCACTAAATATCACATGATCGAAAATATTAATTTTGATAGACGAAATCCTAAAAAATTGGTAATCTTGAAAATTTGATTTAGTATCACCTGTATCCTGATTTTAAGTAATATTAATGCAAATTGTAAAGATCATGACTGTATCATTAATTTCACTTAAGCATGTAGTACTTAAATCAGCCCAGAAGACCCAAAAATTTTGATCACAAAAAAAAATTCATGATGTCGATGCCTCATGTTTTGTGTGACCCGAACTTGTGTTATTTGTTGTTGTTGCACAACATGTGCCATGTTCGAACTTTGTAGTTCACCATGTTATCCGAGCCTTTGGGTGTTATTCTAGATGATTTTAGTAAAGATTCACATAAAATTTTTTTTTTACCCTACAAAATTTTTTTTAATAATTTTAGTAGGCAAATTTGTTCACTAAAATGGGACAGTTTAAGGGATACAGACAATAGTTAAGCATCTGAATAGAAGACATAAGAGGCTGGCAGAAACTGTTACAAGAGAAGAAAAGAAAAGAATAGAAACAAGATCAAAAAAGACAAATAGAAGAAAACATAAACAAAAGATGTGAAATAATTAAAACAAATCAAAGGAAAATGATAGCCAGTCTGTTAAACAAACCTTATAAGAAGATAATACTTGACAGAATTATTGAACAAGAAGAAGAACTGATGAATTTAATAGTAGAACCAGAGTTAGTTAAAATCGGTGTAGCAGAACATTACAAAAAACAATTTAGAATGAGAGATGCAAAACTAGAAGAAATGTCAAAAAGGTGAAAAGAAGTTTACAAGACACAGGAACACATTAAAAAGGAATGGTATATAGAATTAGAAAACAGCATCAAAGAAAAGGAATGGGAAGAAGTACTAAGAGAACTTAAAATAGGAACAGTTCCAGGCATATCTGATATAAGCTACATACTGATTAAACGAGCAGAAAAGAAAACATAAGAAGTCTTTAGAGCCTTTGCAGATCTCTGTTTGGAAAGAAGAGAGATACCAATCAAGTGGAAAATCACACAAGTTTATCCAATACCAAAAGATGAAGAATAGGAATACAGCTTAAACAATATTCGCCCAATAGCTCTGATCGAAACATTTAGGAAAGTAATAACAAAAGTGATAACAAAAAGGCTTGCCAAGATGTATATTAAAAAAGAAGTGCTTAAGGGACTGAACTATGCAAGCCTACCAGAAAATTCAATAGAGCAGCCAGTGCATATCCTTAATATGATAATGGAAGAAGCAAAAGAAAAGAATAAAGAAGTATAGATACTGCTACAAGATATAAAGAAGACATTTGATTCAGTTCTTCTTAAAAGTCTTGAAATGGCATTGCAAAAAGTCAAAATCTCTAGAAGAATGATAAAGTACATCTTAAATCTTTTTCACAAAAGACAACTAAGGATAATTACAGCTTACAGCTTAACAGAGAAAGTAATAGCAAGAGACAGAATAGATTAAAGTAAAGTAATATCACTATTAATATGGCACCTCTTCTATAATCCATTGTTAGAGAGAGTACAAGAAGATAAAAATCTAAGATATATAGTTGAGCAACAAATTAAAGAAGGGATACAATGCAATAATGTCACAAAATTCTGCCAAGCAGCAATTGCATATGCAGATGACACAACATGGATTGCAAACAGCAAAGACCAGTTATTAAAGATCC